CCCCCTGTCCCCCGGGGCCCGGCTCTGCAGAACCCCAAGGTGAGGAGCGGGGCCAGGGGAGCTGGTCAGGGAGGGGAGAGGGGACGGGGAGCCCTGGGAAGTCACAGAGGCGGGGCAGAGCTGCCCCCTGGCTTTTAACGTTCCTAAGAACTAGGAAACAGAAAGCAAAAATAGACTTTGCTCTTCTTGATAAAAGTAATAAAACGGTTAGCGGTGTTAAATTAATCCTTACAAAACGAAACCCAAGGAGGTTAAATAAAGCCCGGAGGCTCCGCATAAAAACCACAACGACTACAAAACAGCTGCAAAGACGTCTTTACACACCAAAGAAACTCCTCTTCTCCGCTCCTCCCCTCTATGGTACACAGCGCCGGCGAACACGGGACTCACACATGTGGGAAAGAAACACGGATGCGATGGGAGCGGCCCTGCGAGGAGCACGGGCGCCACGGACAGAACTATTTACACTATGGACACGGAGCTGTGCTGGTGCCAGTCCGGCCGCAGGAGCCCCCGGGCTCTGCGCTGGGTGGCTCCTGCCCACCCCAGAGCAGCACCGGCACTGCCACGGCACTGGTGCTGCTGCTGCAGAGCACCACGTGCACGGCCCGGACCCCGGATTCACAGCACGTCCTCATCTCCCCGTTTTTAATAAATAAACCTCGTGCCCCGCTTGATCTGTGTCGCGAAACGCAGCCCCAGAAGGCTGCAGGATTACAGGCTTCCAGGCAACGCTAACCCACCCTGGAGCCATTTCCCTTGGGACAGCAGCGCCCAGCCCTGGGGGGGGGGGACTGACATCCCCGGGCAGCGGGGGCGCTAGAGGCAAAGCCAGGAAATTCCCAACCCCCCCAAAAAGCCGTGCCAGAGAACTATCACAGCTTTCAACCCCCAGAACCGCCCTCACCTCGTTAGGCCAGGAGCGAGCGGTGGCAGCAAACGATTCTTTGCTCCAGCAGCCAGGGACAGGGAGAGATCGGTGGCTGGAAGCTGAAGCAAGACCAGTCCAGCC